GTGGAGGTGTTGTCAGTCGTCTCTCCCTTGACAGACGCTGTTTATAAAGTGTACTACAGTAAGTGTAATTTTTTGTGTATTTAAGTGGTTAAATTTATATTGTGTAAAGGTCGTTATATTAAGGTTATTTATTTGTACAGATTTATTTTAAACGGAAATACCTTACAAAACATTAAGATACACGAGTTAATCTATTATGAAGAAGCGTAGGTTAATGGTCGTTAACGCTCTTAATCATATCAACTAATTACTTTAGACAATACATTACTATTTTGGCTTATGCTTTAATTTAAATTAATGACATATGGTTTCTTTTGTGAATACTTACGTTTTTCGTACTTAAGTAACGTTCCTCAGGTTACTTATGCTTCAGTAACGTTCCTCATACTTGGTGTATGTTTTGGTCTTGTATGTTACAGCAAGTATTTGTTTCTCGTAATATTATTGTTAATATTGGTCCATAGGTTCCCGCCATGTTTACCCGAGGCTATCCCCACTTAGTAGTCTCCTCCTTATAGGTTAGGTAGGTTGGTTCCTTTGGCTAAATCAATGTTTTTTGTTGTGTATTTTTTGTGTTTTACTCAAATTTAATATCCATTTTTTTGCAAATTAGCAAGTTGTTAAAAATGAATATTTTTTTATAAACCTTTAACTTGCAAATGAATTAAAGGTCAGATTTGAGTAAAAAACGAAAATCGTCAAAAAACAATTCTCGTACCAAAACCTGAGGAGAGCCAATGGAAGAATATTTAGTTTATTTTTTCTTTACAGATGATGGTTCCGGTTACTGTTGTGTTAAAGGCCAGTTTGGTGCATCAGTGGTCGTCAACGTGGATAGTACAGCACCCTATTTATTGAGGTAAGTTTGTTCGATTAGTTTTCGTTAACCACCCGTCACCTTTTTTCCCATAAAATATATTAACGCCATTTAACGTTAGTTTAACGTCATTTAACGTTAGTTTAAACGCCATTTAACGTTAGTTTAACGCCATTTAACGTTCGTTTAACGCCATTTAACGCCATTTTTGTTTTCGCTCCACTGCTGCCATTAATCACATATAAGGCAATTGTTGCCATTTTTTGTTTTCGCCCCACTGCTGCCATTAATCACATATAAGACAATTGTTGCCATTTTTTATTGTCGCCCCTCTGCTGCCATTAATCACATATAAGGCAATTGTTGCCATTTATTGTTTTCGCCCCTCTGCTGCCATTAATCACATATAAGGCAATTGTTGCCATTTATTGTTTTCGCCCCAATGCTGCCATTAATCACATATAAGGCAATTGTTGCCATTTTTTGTTTTCGCCCCACTGCTGCCATTAATCACATATAAGGCAATTGTTGCCATTTTTTGTTTTCGCCCCAATGCTGCCATTATCACATATAAGGCAATTGCTGCTATTTTTGTTTTGCCCCTCTGCTGCCATTAATCACATATAAGGCAATTGTTGCCATTTTTTTTTCGTTCCTCCTGCTGCCGTTAATCGCATATAAGGCAATTGTTGCCATTTTTTGTTTTCGCCCCAATGCTGCCATTAATCACATATAAGGCAATTGTTGCCATTTTTTGTTTACGTCCCTCTTCTGCCATTAATCACATATAAGACAATTGTTGCCATTTTTTGTTTTCGCCCCTCTGCTGCCATTAATCACATATAAGGCAATTGTTGCCATTTTTTGTTTTCGCCCCACTGCTGCCATTAATCACATATAAGGCAATTGTTGCTATTTTTTATGGTCGCCTCTCTGCTGCCATTAATTACATATAAAGCAATTTTTGCCATTTTTTGTTTTCGCCCCTCTGCTGCCATTAATCACATATAAGGCAATTGTTGCCATTTTTTGTTTTCGCCCCACTGCTGCCATTAATCACATATAAGGCAATTGTTGCTATTTTTTATGGTCGCCTCTCTGCTGCCATTAATCACATATAAGGCAATTGTTGCCATTTTTTATTGTCGCCCCTCTGCAGCCATTAATCACATATAAGGCAATTGTTGCTATTTTTTATGGTCGCCTCTCTGCTTATTGTTAATCACATATAAGGCAATTGTTGTATATTTTTATTGTCGCCCCTCTGCCGCCATTAATCAGGATGATAAAGGCAATTGTTGCTATTTTTTATTGTCGCCCTTTCCAAGGCTATTAATTATACATATAAGGCAATTGTTGCCATTTTTTGTTTTAACCTCTTCTGCCTATTGTTTAATCACATTCTTGTATAAATTAGCCTTCCTTCCTTCCTTCCCTTCCTTCTTGGTTCCAGCTGCCCGTGAGGGAGGTTGTTATGTGATGGTGTGCATTATATTATGTGAATATTACTAAATGTTCGCCGCCATGCAGACATTGGTTACCAGGCCTCTTTCCCATGTTCCCTCCTTTTTCCATCCTTCACCTCATCCATCTCTCTCTCTCTATTCCTACGTCACCCTCCCCTATTTCCATCCTCTCATCCACCTCACCCATCTCCCTCACCCATCTCCCTCACCCATCTCCCTCACCCATCTCCCTCACCCATCTCCCTTATCCATCTCCTTCATCCTCACAGCTAAGGAATGGTCAGGGGCATCTAACAACCTAACCCCCAAAACACGAAAGATATTACTCCAAAATGGCGTCGAAATTACACAGAGACTCGACGTTTGACAGATGAATCGACTTACGATTGTTTGAGAGTCGCTAGATACGTCGGTCGCTGAAGTGATTTATGTTGTAAATATTAGTTACAATCTTATTTACGTCAGCCATAGTCACCATCGTCCCTCTTCACCAGACTAATATATCTCCTGTGTTTATATGATCTTATATCCTTCGCTTATTAACTGGGATTCTCAACCTTAATGTATATGTGGGTTGATATGTTATGGTCTATTCTAGGGTGTTTCCTTTTGCTTATCCCGTATATAGTGATATCTCTATTTAAAGGATAGAGAAGAAAGTCCGTTATATCAGGGTCTTTTAGATGTGAAACCTCCATTTAACGGATTAAATGGAGAGAAATCCGTTATATGGAGGTTTCACTGTAATGGAGAGAGTTACAGTGAGTTAACTTCTATCCTCACGGCCTATCCTCATAGCCTATCCTCACAGCCTATCCTCACGGCCTATCCTCACGGCCTATCCTCACAGCCTATCCTCACAGCCTATCCTCATGGCCTATCCTCATAGCCTATCCTCACGGCCTATCCTCACAGCCTATCCTCATAGCCTATCCTCACAGCCTATCCTCACGGCCTATCCTCACAACCTATCCTCACGGCCTATCCTCACAGCCTCTCTTCACCATCTACCTTTGCTGTTGTTATTGTTATTATTGTTATTATTATTGTTATCATCATATCATAATCATAATCATATCATTATCATCATCATCATCATCATACACGAATGAATACACCCAGAAACTTATGACACAACTTCATCACACAATAATAAGTCAACACGAGGGTCTGACTGGTCATGATGTAACAAGTCTCATCGTGTTGGATTCTTGCCAGCCTCTGAGTCCTGCCTTGCCACTCACTCACTAACTCACTCACTTACTCACTTACTTACTTACTTACTTACAGTGTGTGTGTGTGTGTGTGTGTGTGTGTGTGTGTGTGTGTGTGTGTGTGTGTGTGTGTGTGTGTGTGTGCTGACCATTTCCTCACGTCAAGGGTCATTATAGAGGTCATCCCTTTCCCCTTAACCCCTTGTTTCTCACCCCTCCTTTCTTTCCTACCCCTTCTACCCTCTTCCGTTTCCCCCCTCCTTCTTTCTCTCCTTCCTTCTCCTCTCTTTTCCCTTTCTTGTTCTCGTCTCCCTTACCCCTTCCTTTTCTTCTCCTTTCACTTCCCTTCTTTTTCATTCTCTTCTTCTTCCTCTTACCCTCCTCCTCCTCCTCCTCCCTCTTCTTTCTCTTTCCTTCTATTTTTATCCCTTCCTCTTTTTCCTCCCTTATCTTCCTCCCATCCTCCTCCTCCTCCTACTCTCCTACCTTCTCCTATTTCTCCCTTCCTTCTCTTCCTCCCTCCTCCTCTTCCTCCCTTCCTTCACTGATGGACCCAACCTCCCTAATGGTGTTTGGGATAATCTCTTCCTTGTCCATCTCCCTGTGTGTGGCTTTCTCCCTCACCCATGAAACCCTCCCTGACTCTCACCTCTTCTCCCTCACCCATGAATTCCTCCCTGGCTCTCACCTCTTCTCCCTCACCCATGAATCCCTCCCTGACTCTCACCTCTTCTCCCTCACCCATGAATCCCTCCCTGACTCTCACCTCTTCTCCTTCACCCATGAATTCCTCCCTGACTCTTACCTCTTCTCCCTCACCCATGAATTCCTCCCTGACTCACACTTCCTCCCTCACCCATGGTTCACCTTCTCCCTCACCCGTGTTTGTGTGTGTGTGTGTGTGTGTGTGTGTGTGTGTGTCAGAGCACTTTAGAGAGTCAACACCTACAATATCAGATCATTACACAGTGTCACCACCTTGTAAAGTCTTTTATCCGTATACAGTGTCGGAACCCTATCAGACTCTTGGCCAGATCAACAGACACTCTCTTAACAACCGTCCTAATCACCGCCTGTTGGAGCCTCACTCGGGGTTAACTACCGGCAAGGTCATTCACCCGGGGCAAAAAATGGATTGGCTCTATTCACACCGAAGGAATTAACTCTAACTTCATTAACTCTATAGTGATGGTGGTGGCGCCAGTTATATAGCCTAGCCAAGATCTTGTCCCCTTCCTCGCCCCTCCTCGACCCTCTTGTTGCTCTTGATACTCCTCTTAATCCCTTTTCTAGAGCTTCATATTTCTCTTAATCCCTTTCCTAGAGCTTGATACTCCTCTTAATACCCTTTACACAGTTCTTTCCTAGTCCAATACATTCTTAAAAGTTCACTATCTGCCTTCTCTCTACCATAACAAGATCCCCACCCACAACACACACTCTCTCTCTCTCTCTCTCCACGACGCCATTGGCTGTATCTTGACTCTCTCTATCTCACTGACTTTATGCAAATGACCCACTGTCTAAGTCTGGCCCGATGCTTCCAGTTGCTTGGCCTAATGTCTTCCTGGTGCTGATGGCTGGGGTCCCGGGATGTGCTAGACACGGGGATGTGCTGGGGTCCCGGGGATGAACTAGATGTCTTGGGGATGTGCTGGGGTCCCGGGGATGTGTTGCGGCCTCTGGGATGTGCTGCCCCCGGGGGGTGTTAGAAGTCTTGGGATGTGCTGGAACCCCGGGAAAGGGCTGGATGTCTTGAGGATGTGCTGGATGTCTTGGGAATGAACTGGAGCCCTCGGGATGTGCTGGAACCCCGGGGATGTGCTGGAACCCCGGGGATGTGCTAGATGTCTTTGGGGATGTGCTGGAGCCCCGGGGATGTGCTAGATGTCTTGGGGATGTGCTGGATGTCTTAGGGATGTGCTGGGGCTCTCGGGATGTGCTGGAGCTCGGGGTTACCTAGAACCCTCGCGGAGATAATGGGTGAACCTTGTTTATGTATCGAGAGAGAATGATAGAGTACGGGAGGACGTGGGGGGGGTGTAGGAGGACGGGAGGAGACAGGAGGACGGGAGGAGACTGTCGGTAGATGGTGATGAGAGAGATGGGAGATAGTGAGATGGGAGATAGTGAGAGATGGGAGATGGGAGATAGTGAGAGAGATGATGGGACAATAAATGATGATGAGAGAGACAGTAAATGGCAGTGAGAAACGGTGGATGATGATTTGAGTGAAGGAGAATGAGGTGAGGGAGGGAAGGAAGGAGGGAGGGCGTAAGGGAGGGAGTGGGGAGGGTAAGATGAGGTAGAGAGGGGCGGAGGGAGGGTAGGGAGGGAGAGGGAGAGTAAGAAGAGAGAGGTAAGTAAAGTGAGGGAGGGAGAGAAGGGAAGATAAAGTTAGGGAGGAAGAAAGGGAGGGTAAGGAAAGAGAGATAGGGAGAGTAAGGTGAGGGAGAGAGGGTGAGGGAGGTAAGGAGGAAGGTACCATTTATCTCGTGGTGTGTGGTGACAGTAACAACATTCTTCACTCGTGGTGATGGTGGTACACGTCAGCCCATGATCAGGTGCTGTCTCAACTCTCTCTCTCTCTCTCTCTCTCTCTCTCTCTCTCTCTCTCTCTCTCTCTCTCTCTCTCTCTCTCTCTCTCTCACCTGCATCATCTGTCTGTGAATTCATCGTCTATAGGAACTTCTTCACTCTAGTGTAAACATTTCCTGGTCGGCTCACTATGCTAATCTTGTTATTCTCCTTTAACAAAAACAACAGCTGATCTTGTACAGGTAAACGGGGCTCCTTATACACTAATAATAATATAATGTCATTGTTATTATGAGTTTTTATTTGGGTAATGCATATGTTGAGATTTTCTAAAACAGGAAATTAAGTTTGTTAGATGTTGGTGTTAATTTTTTCGTTTTATTGACGTCAAGTTACAGTTCAAAAGATTTGCCCAGGAACTGGTTTGTCGTATTTTTTTTTTCAATTTTAATGCAACCCAATACACGGATTTTGGAATAGATGAATTTTTGGAATTAACCATAAACCAGATTATAGTAATTTCCGATTTTAAAGTCATTCAGTTTCCAGATTATTGATTTTCAGATTTCAAAATTATGCAAAATCCGGATTTGGGGAAAATGTGGGACTTTCAAATCACCCTGAACTCAGATTTTCGGATTATGACATTACACAGGGGTCCGAATTTTTAAATGTTCGGATTTTTTTAATATCACAATATCCGGATTTTCGATTTTTTAGATTTTCAAACTAGCCAAGAGACTCAACCTAATAAACCTTGGGAAAGATAACAAACGGGACGGGGTTGTTTACCTCGACAAACAAGGAAAACAAATCATTCTTAATTACCCCTGAGAGAGTGGTGAATGTTTTCTAATGACTCGCTTCCCCGTCGCTCTCATTTTAGATACCAGTCAAGGTGTCTCTGGGGTGTAGAGTCACTTGATGTATATAGTGTTTTATTTTCATTCGTTGTCTAGGTGGCATTGACAAAGGCTGATTTATTATTGATAATTTTTAAACATTTCCGAAATTCTGTTTGTTGATCTAAAATGGGTAAAGTCAGGCTTGAGTCCAGATGTACCCACGAGTCCAAATATACCAACGAGTCCAATTATACCCAGGAGTCCAGATTTATCCAAGGTATACACGAGAGTACAAACTTATCTGAAAAAGGGGAAGGAAGGGGAGGGAAGAGGAGGCGTCCTGAAGGAGGGGAAGGAAGAGGAGGCGTCCCGAAGGAGGGGATGGGGGAGGAGGAGGCGACCTGAAGGAGGGGATAGAAGAGGAGGAGCCAACCTGAAGGAGGCCTCTACGTATCCCGCCTGATAGCAGAGGTCCGCCCCGCCGCCCGTGAAATGGCGGAGCCTCAGTGAATTATGGAGCGGAACGAAACCCAGTCCTCGCCGATGCTGGGTTGTGGTGTATGGCTGTGGTGTATGGCTGTGGTGTATGGCTGTGGTGTATGGCTGTGGTGTATGGCTGCGGTGTATGGCTGCGGTTCTATGGTTGATGGAGACTCCCACCCCTTCTCTACACCCTCTCCTGCGGTTTTAATTTCACGTTGATCAGTCAAATTAAATGCGCGTCCCTCCTAACCTAACCTAGCCTAACCTAACCTAACCTAACCAAACCAAGCCAAACCAAAGCTAAGCAAACCTTCCGAGAACAACTCCTGTATTATTATAAAGTATGAATAACAATCTTTCACTATTGTATAAGATCCGTATCGTATCATAGATAACTAATGTGTAGTAGTAGTAGTCATTCAGCTTAAACTTGTGTATAATGTATAACTTTTGTTCACTTGTTTTGATCCTGATGCAGAGCCTAATTTGCATATGACAATACAGTGTTAATGAATCTCAAGGAATTTTTGTTTTGGGTATTTCGTACTGTGTAGAGTGTGTGACCCTGATTATAGAGTGTGTGGCCCAGATTATAGACTGTGTGGCCCTGATTATAGAGTGTTGCCCTAATTGTAGAGTGTTTGACCCTAATTATATAGTGTGTGGCCCTAATTATAGTGTGTGGCCCTAATTTTAGTTTATGGCCATATACTGTGGAATAATATAGAGTGTGGCCAGATAGAACAGTTGAGTGTGACCACATGATGCAGTTGAGTGTGGCCGCATGATGCAGTTGAGTGTGGCCAGATAGTACAGTTGAGTGTGGCCAGAGAAGCTGCTGGTGCTGGAACATTGGCCAGACAGTTTTCCGGGGCCGGGCGGGCCAGATGATACAGATATGCCAATAAAAGTGTGTAACTAAGAGCGTAGGAGAGCCAGCGATAACCTTACTTTATGATCAGTGTTGGAGGCGCGCTGACTACCACCACCACCACCACTACCACCACTACTACTACCACTATTACCGCTGCCACAATTACCACCACTTTTACCCTTACAACCACTACCACCACTATTATCATTGCCACCACTATTACCGCTGCCACCATTACCACCACTATTACCGCTGCCACCATTACCACCACTATTACCGCTGCCACCATTACTACCACTATTACCGCTGCCACCATTACCACCCACTATTACCACCACTATTACCACTACCACCACTATTACCACTATCACCACTATTACCACTACCACCACTATTGCCGCTGCCACCATTAACATCACCTTTACCCTTACCACGACTGCCACCACTATTACCACTACCACCACTATTACCACTATCACCACTATTACCACTACCACCACTATTGCCGCTGCCACCATTAACATCACCTTTACCCTTACCACGACTGCCACCACTATTACCACTACCACCACTATTACCGTTGTCACCATTACCATGACTTTTACCCTTACCACGACTGCCATCACTATTACCGCTGCCACCACCACCACGATATAGTTTACTAGGGGCGTTGACTACCACCATCACTACCACCACTATTACAGCTACCACCACTATTACCACTACCATCACTATTACAGCTGCCACCACTATTACCACTACTACCACTAATACCGCTATCACCACTACCACGATATAGTTTACGAGGGGCGTTGACTGCCACCACAACTACCACCACCAGTCAGGAACCATACACAGCCAATCAGAGGAACCAATACACATTATATATATACCATAAACACTTCCTTCCATACATAAATTATAGAAACAAATTGATCGGAAACTCATATATATATATATATATATATTTGCTAAAACACCTTTAATTAAGATCTTACCGTATCGAGGCTCACCTGCCCTAAGTGAAGACAGGTGTAGTGGGTCACGGAAGCCTCCTACAATAACATCGCCACTCGACCAATCTCAGCGGTAAACAAACTCTCCTGGGGCCGATCTGAAGCTCAGGGGTAATTATTTCACAATCCATCACTGCCAAGAGAAGGTGGTATGGGGGTGAAGGGGAGATGGGGAGAGGGGAGAAAGTAGTGTGGAAGAGGGGAGGGATGTGGGAGTGGGGGGAGAAGGGAGAGAGAGGTGTGGGTGAGGAAAAGAAGGGAGAGTAGAGAAGGTTGTGTGGGATAGGGCAGATAAAGGGAGAGGGGAGGAGGTGAGAAAGGGGTGGTGTGGGGAAGGGAGAGAAGGGGAGGAAAGGAGAGAAAGGAGATAAGTTGATGTGCGATATGGGAAGGAAGGGAAGAGAAGGAGAAAGGGGAGACAAAGTGGTGTGGGGGAGGAAAAGGAGAGAAAGGAGTTACAAGCTGAACTCTGCGTCACGAAGATGGAAGAAGAGAAAGGTGTTGAGTTTATAATACGATTGTCATTTGTTTTTTGGGAGGGTTTGTTTTGTTTTTCCCGTTTCCTTTTGTTTTCTACCTCAGTTAAACCTCTTCTTTTGTTTTCAATCTCAGTTAAACCATTTCCTTTTGTTTTCTGCCTCAGTTAAACCTTTTCCTTTTGTTTTCAACCTCAGTTAAACCATTTCCTTTTGTTTTCAACCTCAGTTAAACCTTTTCCTTTTGTTTTCAACCTCAGTTAAACCATTTTCTCTTGCTTTCTACCTCAGTTAAACCTTTTCCTTTTGTTTTCAACCTCAGTTAAACCATTTCCTTTTGTTTTCTGCCTCAGTTAAACCATTTCCTTTTGTTTTCTGCCTCAGTTAAACCATTTTCTATGAGACTTTAGTGTATTTTGGGCTGGGTTTTCTCCATCGTCTACTGTCTCAACCAAGTACAGGAGACTTGGTGGTAATGTCTCGCGAGTCAGTCTCTTCCTGATCACGAGGTTGTAATCACCGAGTCTCTTCCTTCTATAATCAACACATGGCCTTGTGCTTGCGGTCTTAGCTACGTACAGTGCTGCCTATTTTAACTACGTACAGTGCTTGCGGTCTTAACTACGTACAGTGCTTGCGGTCTTAACTACGTACAGTGCTTGCTATATTGATCATTTTCAGTGCTTGCTTTATTAGCCATGTACTGTACTCCTTATATTAACTGCGTACAGTACTTGCTATGTTAACTTGGAACAGTGTTAGTTACTACGACTGACAAAGACCAGAGCCGTGTGTTGAATCACTACGTCACCTTTCAACCTTTAGCCTTATGGCCAATATGTCATTAAACAAATCAAAACAAACAAAATTCCCCAAACCCAAAAGGTAAACAAACAATAGAAGTCGTGGAGAATTTCCCAACATTTCACGCGAGCGATTCCGCGGATCGTTTAGAGTCAGCTGGCGAATGAGATGGACCCCTGATCTACACACGGTCATCAGAGCTTAAACGCGATTGTCCCACGATTCAATTGGGACAGGCAGAGAGTTGGTCGGTTGGGGGTCACTCTTGTGGAAACCGTGGAGGGGGAGGAGAGAGGAGGGGAGGCGGTGGGGAAGGATAGGGAAGGTGGTGGGGGAGAGTGGAGGGAAGGTGATGGGGGGACTCCTCACTGGCCGGTGTAAGAGGGGGGGGGGTGGAGGTCCCTCACTGGCCAGCCACACTAAAGTGGGAGAGATAGAGCGTTGTGACGGCGCTTGAAGGGGGAGTAGATTGCAATCAAAACAAACTTTATTGAAAAATTGGTGTTGGAGGAGGTGGACTGTGGTGAAAGCCCGTGGTAGAAGGGCTGTACAGTGATTGAATTCTTAATGGAAGCCTCAGTCAAGAGGGTTGGTGTTTGTGTGAAACCTGGTGGGGAGGGCTTACTACTCCCAGGCTCTGATGATCAACCTGACTTTATTGTTGTGGCTACGATTCTTGAGGAGGAAGTTTGTCCTCTCTTAGCGTCTTAAACACACAAGTTTGGTATATTCTGCATCCCATTCCCAAAGGACACACACACACACACACACACACACAAGACAACAGCAGGTCACAGCCAGACGGAAGAAGGTTCAACAGACCATGATAGCGACAGACAACAGCACAACACACTACGGCATCACCCTCACCCTCCCCCCATACCACCTCTATCACCACCTGTGTTTTAAGCAGACACTTGGCCCTTGAAACAGTCTTAATATAGAAGGTATGTAATATATAAAACTAACATTAACTCTAAAAAAAAACAATAGGATTGATTCTAAAAGCAATAATAACCAAATTTTGAAATGTTATCCTCCTAATATCAAACACACGCTGCTCTTCAGGACCATTGGAATAACATAGTTTAAGTCACCTCTTTGAAATAAATGGCCTCAGAGACCATTAAGGTAATTCACACAGACCATTGGGAGTTTTACACATTAGTAGGAGCCACTTGTGTTCACTGTGAGCGGAAGATATAGCAAGGTGGTGGTGCAGGCTACCTCACCACCCCGTGTTAAACTACCAGTACTCCCTACACTGTCACACCACCCTGTGTTAACCTACCAGTACTCCCTACACTGTCACACCACCCTGTGTTAACCTACCAGTACACCCTACACTGTCACACCACCCCGTGTTAACCTACCAGTACACCCTACACTGTCACACCACCCTGTGTTAACCTACCAGTACTCCCTACACTGTCACACCACCCTGTGTTAACCTACCAGTACACCCTACACTGTCTCACCACCCTGTGTTAACCTACCAGTACACCCTACACTGTCACACCACCCCGTGTTAACCTACCAGTACACCCTACACTGTCACACCACCCCGTGTTAAACTACCAGTACTCCCTACACTGCCTCACCACCCCGTGTGTTCATCTAGCAGATAGTCATTGCACTTTGTTTGACCTTTATCATGTGATGATCTAACTTAAACTACAGTAAACTAACACTTGTATAGCGAAATAGAGACCAACTGTCTCCTTGCTGCGTCGAATCACTCCCCAGTCACGTGACCACCGACAAACAAATGAACATCGAGCTTCGTCTCTAAATACACAACGACGGAAATCCAAATCGTCAGTCTAGTCTGAGTCACACAATAGACCAGATCACTGCTCCTCCCTCAAGGCTTTACACACATCATGATACACTTGTAGTAACTTAACGTCTGTAGGATTTGTAGTGGTATCTTGTAGCGGAGGGGGGGGGGATATACTGGCTGTTGTAGTTCTTGATAGTATTTTAGTTATTTACGAGGATTTGTTGACAGTATATTCACTCCATACTTGTGGATTGGACGTAATCTTGAGAAATGTTTTTTGTAAACTTTTAACTCGTAGGACGAGTATTATTTCCAATGTTACGTCTGATTGTCAAGCTCTCAGCCCTGTTGGAGTTGATCAGATAGCGGGAGAAGGGTGTCTGTTGCAACGGTTGAACCTTCTGTTGGTGACATTAGCCTGTTGTTCAACCTGTATGCTGTGTTGACGGGTTTTGTCAACTAATTCCTTGGGATTACCTGGCGGATTCACTCACTTGATATTTCACCTGAATGCTCGCCTGTATTTTAGCTCATCTTTATACTCACCTTATCGTTCACCTGCATGCTAACTCACCTGACTGATTCACTTAATTGTTTACCTGCGTTCTGGTACACCTGACTGACTAATTCACCTATGTACTGCCTGCCTCACCTAATTGCTCACCTGCGTGGTTGGTTCACCTGGCAGGAACAGGAGTGGGGGTACAAACGATGAACTTGGGTAGTAGTTGTTGTAGAGTTGAGGGAGGGCCAATGAACCGTGTCACCTCTTTGATGTGCCTTACGCCTCGCTGCTCCCTCAAACTTGGCCCCCCACCCCAGTTTTTGTGCTGGTGGCTGTGTTGGAGGCTGTGTTGGTGACTGTTGGAGAGGGGATGGAGGCTGTGTTGGAGAGGGGGGATTGAGGCTATGTTGATGAGATTGGAGGCTGTTGTTGGAGAGACTGTTTGTGAAAGGGGTTGGAGACTATGTTAGGTTAGGTTAGGTTACGGGAGGATAGGGGGGGGGATAATCTTCAGGTGATCCATCCACTATACTCGGGGGTTGGGATCATACACAAGACACTGATAGTCAAAATATACAGGTGTGTGTGATGAGCGACTGGTAAACTAAACTAATTTGTTCTTGTTTCCAGGTAAGTGTTTGATGACAGCTCCTCGAGGGACAATAACACACCTCACTACAGGTATGTCTAGGTGACTGTGTTATGACTCGTCACCTGTGTGGAGGATTACAGTGCTATACATGTCTGTCCGTCCGTATCTCCCTGGGACGGTAAGATCATACGTGTTTGTTCGTGTATTTCTTTCGTCCTTTTATCCGTCCGTACACCCTCACGAACGCGTCAGTATATAGGTCCTTTATAACTGCGTCTGTTCGTGTGTCTTTACGTGGTCGCTAGAGTAAGATGGTCACTTGAGAGGGGGTCTTCTTCCTGTCAACATTTCCAAGCAAAAGTTGTTGTTGTTTTTAAGTTTATCCGAATTTTTAGATTAATTGATCACTTTATTAGACCTGGCCTCCTCCTCCTCCTCTCCCGTTTCTTCTAAATGACCTTCTTCTCCAACCGACCTCTTTTTCCTTTTCCTCTTCCTTGCCTCCCCTGAATCACTGGTCTTCTCCTCCTCCTCTTCCTTCTCTTCTAAATGACCTCCTTCTCTAAAGTCTCCCCCCTCCTCGTGACCAATCACCGGCCACTCCTCCAGTAAGGCGTCTCCTGACATAACTATTTTAGCGGAGATCTCGTCTGGGGTGACCAAGTAGCCGCCAGCCCCATTATGTCCCTCCCTCCCTCTCTCCCTCTCCCTCCCTCTCCTCCTCCCTCTCTCCCTCTCTCCCTCTCTCCCTCCTCCCTCTCTCCCTCCCTCCCTCTCTCCCTCATTCCAGAAACACAGTCATCGTGATAAATAAAGCCACTCTCTCATATCCAGCAGTCGATGAACATAGATGTACCCAATAGGTGGAGTGGGGAGGGGCAGGAGGTGGGGGTAGTGTAGGTGGGGATGGTGCTGGAGGTGGGGAGATTGTTTAGGTGGGGGTGGTGCTGAAAGTGGGGAGGTTGTCTAGGTGGGGATGGTGCTGGAGGTGGGGGTAGTGTAGGTGGGGGTGAGGCAAGGAAGACGCCGGCTAGAAGCTGGCTCATTCAGATAAGAAACTTTGAGAGAAAACAACAAGACCCAGTTGAGAAGATTCGATCATATCAGCGTAGATGGTTCTGCCTTGTGGGGCGGAGCTAGAGCTGGTGAGGGTGCTGGTTGTGGTGATGGTGGGGGTTGTGGTGATGGTGGGGGTTGTGGTGATGGTGGAGGTTGTGATGGTGGTGGTGGTTGGGGTTTTGTGTGATGGTTGTGGTCGTGGGGTGTTGTGTGATGGTGTGGTTGTGTGATGGTGGTTATGGTGGGGTTGTGTAGTAGTAGTAGTGGTGGGATTGCATGGTGGTGTTGCTGGTAGTATTTTATAGTGGTGTTGATGTGTCTTGTTACTAGTAGTGGTGGTGATGGTGGTGTGATTGTGTAGTAATTTCATAGTAGTGGTGATTTGTGTGATGGTAGGTTGAAACATCATACAAAATCTTAGACATAATGAAAGATGGTTAGTCTGAGAGATCTATATTAGGCGAATAAGACTTACTGATGTAGAAGACCTGCAAAGTTGTTCAAATTCTGTCGAAAAATTTTGAGAAGTGTCCAGAAAAAAAAATGAAATGAAATGAAATGAAATATGAGTTGAGGGCATGTCACAGAGATTCACGTATACAATTATAATCCTCCCATGACATACGAGGCCTCCCAATACATGAAAATACAGCATTCCTCTTATAACATACAAACATTCATAAACTCTCATGAAAATCAGTTAGGTTGTGTGTGTGTGTTTCTGAGACTCTCTATACGTTACGATTCCATTAAGACTCGCATAAGAGATCTAAGACTCTCACTACGAAAGACAACAGTGACGGACGTTTGCTAAAGAGGCTGTAAAATTCTGAGCTTCTAACCATGACGAAATACTCAAAGGCTCTCTGTGTGTCGTAGGCTTTATAGCTGAGGTTCTCGTAAGCTCTGTGGGGGTGTCAGTGTACGTGGGTGTCAGTGTACGTGGGTGTCAGTGTACGTGGGTGTTAGCGTACGTGCGTGTCAGTGTACGTGGGTGTCAGTGTACGTGGGTGTCGGTATACATGGGTGTCAGTGAAGAGGGAGATTTCGGTGTACGTGGATGTTAGCGTGCATGGGTGTCAGTGTACGTGGGTGCCAGTGGGGAGACAGATCATATGTGTACGTGGGTGTCAGTGGTAGTTAGTGGTCGTTGTTTTCCCTGAGTGGTGCTTGGATAAGTTTACGAGGTAATTACTGTGGCGAGTGTCTCATCCACCCCCCTCCCTCAACCCCCTCTCCCTCACCCCTCACAACCCCCCCTCACCCTCACCCCGGGGATTCTTCCTCATGACAAGGTTCAGGGGTGATGCAATACTGTGTGCGTGTGTGTGTGTGTGTGTGTATGTGTGTGTGTGTGTGTGTCCATAGATCAATATTGTGATAACTCTAATCACCTGCCATGAATCATTAAGGATCTGTTGTCCCCTATTTGACATCTGTATAATTACTTGATCAAATGACATCTCAATAAGTCTAATTACTTTTCTAACGCTAATTACTCACCGCCTATGGTTTTTCAAGGTCACTTTTTGGTGTTTATGTGTTATTCTGGATGTAGTTAAGTAGTTAGATACATTATATTTAAATTCTGAGAAAAGGTGTTGAATTCACCATTGCTCTTCATCTTCGTCATCACGTCACTGTGAAAACCTGGGAAATTATGTTACAATTCGCATTTTTGTCAGGTTAAGAGTGAGTATCTTTCCCCCGCCAAGAGCGAATGTCTTTCCCCGGCCAAGAGCGAATGTCTTTCCCCGGCCAAGAGCGAATGTCTTTCCCCGGCCAAGAGCGAATGTCTTTCTCCGGCCGTGTCTTTCCAAGAGTGAATGTCTTTCTCCGTGAACTTCCCAATTCTCCATTACCTGGGTAGAACGTGACAAGGCAGGTAAGTCTCTGATAAAGAAGAATGTTGAAACTTTCTTCTCTGACCGTCTGGTGGAGGCGTGTGTCGGGGGGTCAGGCCAAGCTCACCAATATGTGTCATTCATTCCCAGGACGAACCCAAAGCTAGTTATAAGTGATTTTAGATCATCCTGAGATTAACATGGATTTAATGGTAGTGTAATGTGTATGTGTGTGTGTTGTTTAATTAGTTGTGTTTGTGTTTTATTATTATTATTATTATTATTATTAGTAGTAGTAGTAGTAGTAGTTTGAGTAGTAGTAGTAGTAGTAGTAGAAGTAGGGAATTTGCGTCCTATCTTTCTGTAATTTTATCTACCACACCATGATTGTATTACAGTTCCTCGTTGTCTAAGGAACAACTCGAAGATTGGTAATACTTGACGTAAGGTTTAGTTCAGTATCGTCTTAAATTACGGCTCTCTGATGATAGAGTGCAGCTGGCCTTCAATTCTTACGACAAGATTATGTTGTGGTCTCTCTCTCTCTCTCTCTCTCTCTCTCTCTCTCTCTCTCTCTCTCAGTACGATGCCTTAACCATTCGGAGTCAGAGTAATATAGGACAGTGCCACACTCAAGGGACAGTGCCAAACTCGGAGGACAGTGCCAGACTCTATGTACAGTACCAAACTCTATGGACAGTGGCAAACTTAATGGACAGTGCCAAACTCGGAGGGCACAGTGCCAAACTCAATGGACAATGCCAAACTCTATGGACAGTGCCAAACTTAATGGACAGTGCCAAACTCGGAGGACAGTGCCAGACTCTATGTACAGTACCAAACTCATTGGACAGTGCCAGCAGTCAGGGATACAGACGAGGCAGTATCGATGTTTCTGTCCAACATTGCCGGTTCAACACTGTTACCAGAACCGATCATGAAATTGAGGCGGGAACATCGATAATGCAGGAAAGTTTGTATTACCTCGCGGTGTTGGTAATATTACTCCTGCCTGTACGCGACCCTACTCTTATGTGTGTGTGTGTGTGTGTGTGTGTGTGTGTGTGTGTGTGTGTGTGCGTGCGTGTGTGTGTGTGTGCGTGTGTGTGCGTGTGTGTGTAAAGTAAAAACTAACCCCATTTAACTTTAATTTATATACGAAATATGAGAAATCTTACACATGTTTAGACAGACTTACAGACACACTTAGGTGGATCTCTTATCGTCTCCTGAAGTCTCTATAATGTTGCCTGGTGCGTTTGGTGAGTTGTTGTGAAGTAACTGCCCCCCAGAGTCACCCAGTTCACCAGGATATAACATCAGCACCAGGTAAACGGTAGCATAGGTGTTAGATAAAGTCACCAATGTTGTTAAAATATCACCAAGTAAATTAAGATTAGTGAGGTTATGATCAGTGTCACCATAATGTTACCTGTCACCAATGTTGTCACCAAACTACAACAACCATCACTAATCGCCACTAACCACTATGTTCACCGCCCATCACCCTCATCACTAATCACCATCATCAACCATCACCTCACCACTCACCACCCTCACCACC